AAAAGAGAGGAACATTATTGGTACGAAATAAAAGACATGGAAGCTATAAACATAGTACGCAACAATTTGATGCATTAATGGCCACCAAGTGTTAGGAGTAATTATCTCGATGAAACAAAAAACCCATTTCAAAGCTCTATAGTTTAAAACTTTTACCGACCGTTTGATTTAACATTTTGTTTATGATATTTGAAAAAGATGAATGGAATCAATGTTGATCACAAGTGAAGAAAGTAGATGACATGATTATGTCCCCTTTTCGTTTACTTTAGGATCTATGGATTGTATCGTGTGATGGATCATGTAACCTCCACAAATGTTCAACCAATTTGTAAAAATTCATGTGTTTTTTTTTTTTAATATTAGAAACCGACAATTTAATCTTTAAAAATTTAATATAATGATTGGTATTGTATTGTTTATGTAATGAATTGTGTGACACTCGATCTCCATACGATCGAGTTGCACACTCTAAAATTATTCGTTAGTTTTATTATAAATATATATAAATAAAGGTCACATTTTTCTTAAAAAAAAATGTTAAATAAGAAAATTATATTCAAAATATTAAACGACTAATGTTTTAAACATTGATGTTGACAAAATTGTATTGAAAATATTTAAAATAGTAAACATCCATTTGTTTTAATGTTTCTTAGGAAATAAATAATAATAATTTTTACCTATACATAGTAAATTTTTAATTTCATCAAATTAAACAAAAAAAAAAAAATGGTAGAATTGTGAAAAACTCGCATGCCTTCATTTTTTTCCGCCAAAAAAGAATAATTTTAGTGAAAATTACCTTTTTACCCTTGTACGCTCCCAAAATTGATTTGGATTGTGATAGGAAGAAATCCCTTTTCATATAAATTTTTTTTAGGTTTAGAAGTAAAAAAAAAAAAAAGAAAAAAAAGAGTAGAGAATTAATTATAATTGGTCCACGTAAGCATAAAAGGGCATAAAATACAGAACCCAGATTTGATAATGGGAGGTTCGAACTGGGGTGGGAAGCACTGGACGGTAAAGGACCAAAAAGGACAAACCCAAGTCCAGAAAGTACAGGGAAACCGGACTCCCCCTGTTTTTCCCACCACTTTCTTTAATTCATCGTTAATTAAACGTGATTAACTCGAGATTAAAAACTAATAAATCCCTCCTTTCCCCTTTCCCCTTTCCCTTCGCCTATATAAACCTCTTCAACCCCCTCGACTTCCTCCCCCACTCGCTCCATTCTTCATCCCCTCTCTTAGAAGCTTTGTTTACCTCTCGTTCAAAGCTTCTTTCTTCCTCATTGCTCTTCCCTATTTGGTAAGCCTACTTTTTTCATCATGGGTTTGCCTGATTTTGCTTCTTTCATCTCTTAATTTCGATTTCGTTTCTGGGTTTTGATGGGGTTTTGGAGTTCTTGAACTTTTGATTGAATATGAACTTATATTTGGTGAAAATGGTCTGGTTTTGTGGCTGCAAATCGTTAAATAACCATGAACCAACGGATGATCAGAGGCCATTTTCTCATACATTCTTAAACAACCCATTAAGATCTTGAAATCTGATGAGAATATGTAATGATTCTGGCTTAATGAATTCATTTTCACGTTTCTTTGTTGTTCTTGATAGGATTTCTAATCAAAATGGAATACGAGAATCGGTTTAGACAGGCTCAGAGAGCAAAATATGATTGTCTTCTGTTTGGTGAGAACTGATTCTTTTCCTATGATCATCTTTGTTCTTAGTTTTTGCTTTGGAAATTCATAGTTCTTTTCAAATGTGTGTCTAGATTTGGATGATACTCTGTATCCCTTGAGTACTGGCATTGCAGCTGCCTGTTTACAGAACATCAAAGGTAAGATTACAAAGCTTTTAGCCTGAATTTCCCATTGAAACAATCAGTTTCTTGATGTTCTTGATGTTCTTACTGTTCTTTTGTAGATTATATGGTTGAGAAACTGGGTATAGAGCCAAGCAAAATCGCTGACCTCTGCAATTTACTGTACAAGAACTATGGAACAACCATGGCTGGTCTTAGGGTATAAAGAACAGATACCCAGTTTTCAAAATGCTTAAAAGTTTAGAATAATTCGACGACTAATTGGGGTTTCTTTTTAGGCAATTGGGTATGAGTTTGATTATGATGAGTATCATAGCTTTGTTCATGGAAGACTTCCTTATGACAACCTTAAACCTGATCCTGTTCTTAGGAGTCTTCTGCTGAGCTTACCTTATAGAAAAGTTGTAAGTATTTGTGTTTTCTTTGATTCTTAGGTTCTTTTGTCTGATTTTTTCTCGTTTTTGTGCTTGAATAGATCTTTACAAATGCTGATAAGATCCATTCAGTTGAAGTTCTAAAAAGGCTTGGATTAGAGGACTGTTTTGAAGGGATTATTTGCTTTGAAACACTGAATCCGACCAACAAGAACTTTGTTTCAGCCGATGAAGATGATGAGCTTGAGTTTCTTGGATCCAATCCGACAGCCCCATCTGGGTCGGAAATCTTTGACATTATTGGTCATTTTCTTCAGCCAAATCCTGGGGTGGAGTTACCAAAAACTCCCATAATTTGTAAACCATCAGAAGCTGCCATTGAAAGGGCTCTCAAAATTGCAGGCGCTCAAAGAACCGTAAGAAGAAATGAACAAAACCATGTCACTCTTCTCTGAGCTTAGCCCTTTAGCTTAATCTGTTCCTTTTGCTCTTTTCAGCTCTTCTTTGAAGACAGTGTCCGAAACATACAAGCCGGGAAGCGAGTCGGGCTCGACACCGTCTTGGTAAGGGATTTCGTGTTCGTATAGAGGAATCAAAGGCCAGTTTGTGATGAAGTTCGAGAGATTTTTGGCTAATTTGTTCATCTTTTTTTGGTGGTGTACCATAGATTGGCACTTCACAGAGAGTTAAAGGAGCAGATTATGCGTTGGAAAGCATCCACAACCTTAGGGAAGGAATTCCAGAGCTTTGGAACGTTGAAATCAAATCAGAAATGGGTATTGCTGGCAAAGTTACAGTTGAAACATCAGTCACAGCTTAGAATCATAACATCCTTGTTATGTTCTTCAAACCTTAAACCCCACAAAAGAAATCAATGAAATAAACAAAAAAAAAAAAAAAAAAAAAAAAAAAAAAAAAAAAAAAAAAAAAAAAAAAATTGTATATGTTATGGGGAAATGTGTTGTAAATAAGTAAAGTGTTCTTCAATGTAATCTCGACCAAAAATTAAATCAAAAATCTATTTTGTTCGTCGCTAAATTTAAAAGTTAATGGACTAAAGTTAGGTAGTTATCCATTTTTGTATTCCACAAGTTTTCTATCCATTAAAGTTCATTGCCACCATGTTTTGCATGGTTGTAGTTCACATGGATCTTGTTATGACAGATGAAAAGATATATATAAAAATTAAATAATTGTCATTTCACTAAAGTTTTATCATCATATAATTATTTATTTACTTAGATAAACATTGAAATATCTAGCTCTAAAATCAATTCAATTTGGTTGATATGGCAAATTGATTAAGCATATGATCTTTCAAGATTTGGATGGTTTATCATCATAATATCCATTTCATTTAGATTCAATGTAACTTCTTCAAATCATTTCCAAATAATTGTGTGTATTTGCAATCATGACTTTAGGGTAAAGGTTAAATATCAAAATGTCCATTTTAGTAATTGGACCTAAAAAGTTTTGTATGATGGAATGAATGAACGATTAAGTTCAATGAAGGGATTTCCATATTTGGTATGCAGAAGGAAAAGCATATTAACTTTCAAAAATATATTGGAGTATGCGAATGAATTGGGACCACATTCGAATGAGACTGATCCTAAGGATAAAATGATTAAGAAAAACTTAAAATGGTAGTTTGCTTTTCGATGACTCAAATCTAGGAACTTTAAAATTAGTGGTGGTTTGCTAAGAGCAATTCTATATATTGGGTGAGCTGTTAGAAAATACGTGAATGAAAACAAAGTATGTAAAGAAGACTCGGTGTTAGGAACCATCGTGGATGTTGAGTGAGGATAATTTAGGAATTTGAATGATATTTTTGAGTAAATATAAAATTAAAAATTTTAAAATTTTAAAAGATATTTTCTAAAGTTTAGGAAACGACAATTTAACTTATATTTTATTCGGTTTAGACCCTAAAAATAATTGGGCCATCTTCATTAGGCCACGTAGGGAACCTATGGGTTGACCTTAGAGCTTAACCTACCTTATTTGTCTCCTTGGGTTTGGCAAGTATGATCCATCTTCATCGAGATTGAAGCTTTAGAAGAGTATATGACAATGGTGGTGGCCTTGAAATTAGCCCCTTTCCATTTACTCTCTTCTTACATTATTTTTAAATAATACTCAAATTTAATTTTGTTTTATATTTTTAATAAATCTTAAAATTAATCAGTTAATTTTTATGTGTCCTAGTACACCACTCGCCCCCACTTGTAACAGCTAATTTAATTTTGGGTACATATGAATCCTAAGTTTTTTTTTAATAAAAGAAAAAATGGAGGGCCTAAAGGTAAACAAACAAAACAATTCTATGAGTCTTGAGAAGCTCTTCCAGAAGATCAGGTACTAAACTAAGAATTAGCTAAACTATTAGGGACAATCTGGTATATTTAGCTTTAAAACTTTTAAAAATGAGGGTATTCAGGTAGTCATTAGAAAGGGGAGAGATTCTATTTCATTAAAGAATGGCAAAAAGAGATTCAGGGAGCCAATGAAGGATTAAGAACATGGGTTGAGTTGGCTTGGCTGCTGGAAGAGCCCTGAAAATGGCATCAATTTCTCATCATTCACAAAAGACTAATTATGGGTCTTCTTTTCCACTCCTTTTGGGAAAGTATGGCTCATTATTCAAGAAATTGCATGCCAATCGGGTCCATGTTCCCCTCTCCAAACTAGGCTACGACAAAGGTCCCCACAACAGCAATATTGGGTTTAGCTCAAAGAAAACAGAGCCCTCATAGGTGGGAGAAGATAATAATTCACCTCACTTTCCCTCCTAAACAATACTCAAATATGCTATATATAATATCTTACCATACGTCAAGTTGGCTATATAATACTCAAATATGTTTCTCCTTTCTGCTATTAAGAAAAGAAAAGGAGAAACAAACAGAGGTTTCAGAATGGTTTCTATAGGTCTATGAGGAAACAGATCTTTATTGAGATTCAATTGGAAGAGAACAAAACTCTGGGCACTTGGGAGAAGAGAGGTTCATATCTTCTTTTGAAGAACACTCTCAAGACAAAAACAGATCAGACAAAAAAGAAAAAAAAAAATGGTTTTGTATTTATACCTGCGGCTTAGGGATCAAATGACGTTGAAGCCTGACATGTCTTAGCCTTGTTGATTCTCCAACTGAAAAGACATTGCTAAAATATAGATTGTCTATCTAGGGAGGGAAGAAGTCTCCTCGTTGATTCTGTCTAACAAAATCCTATGCAGGGCGCATTGGAGCCTTTCGCGACACTTAATTTCAAATTCGAAACAGCTCCACAGTTAACCTGTTATATTAGGACAATAATTAGTGGTGACTAGAGGTGGATTATTGAAAACTAAGTTAAAAAAAACAGGGGAGTAATATTACCCCTTGGTCCTGGAGCAATCTCATTTGACTGAATATCAAAGAGCCAAAAGACACTTGCAGCCCTGATCAGCACAATTCCATCATCATGTTCACTCTTGAGTAGGTTTCCATGCAGAGATGGCATATATAATTCGACCTTTCCATCCCTGAAGTATCCATTTACTATCTTCATCAATCAAAAAATCTCTGTGGTAACTTGACCGCACCTTTTCAACAGCCCTCTCAAAAATCTCAGGATGAAAAGGAAGTTGCTCAAATCCAGCCCTCATGATCCGGAATTGCCATTGCTTGTATGTTTCTGGTCTTTCCACTCTCTCCCATCCCTCACATGCTATAACGTTTAAAGCCTCCCTACCAAAGATCTCTCTCTCCAATAGCATTCTCTCCCAATCCTCACGAGGTACAACAGTTTCAAGCGTATCAAAGATAGCAGAAAAGTGAAACAAGGCCTCTCGAAATCTGGTAACGAAGAAAGGAGCATTGTATGCCCCATTGACAACGCCAGTGATGAATAAGTTAGGATTAATTTTGTGTATCAATCTAAGAACAGTATTTCTAGGACTCTCTGTAGCAACACTCTCCTCAAGCAAATTTTTAGCTCGATACAAACAATTAACAACTATGAACTCACCCTGATCGATATTGAGATCTTCAACTGTAATAGTTTCCCATTTTTTTGCTATGGCATTATACTCAAATGGCACATTAAAAGTCTCTGCATAGGCTTCCAACCGACGGCCTGTCTCCTCAACTCTCTCTGCTGGACGGAAGCCAGGCTGGGGAAATTCTATTCCAGTAATCCGAAGCTTTGGAGGTCCACCTTTTCTCCATGACAGTCTCTGGATTAAAGTAGGCCACTGAAAACCATAAAGAATACCAAAATCTATGACGTGAAGCTTAGTTGCATTCTCAGAAGCAATCATTGTAGTCCTGTTTGAAGTAAAATTAGAGATCTTCCTAAATGGGCAGGCCGCAAGATACAGGTGATAGGCTTTCAAAACATCAGCAGCAGATGTTCTTTTATTAATTAGACCTTTGTAAATTTGGCTACCAGTACCTGCCAAGCGTGCCTCCAGACCATCGGCAAAACAACTGGCCAGTCTCTGATTTCCATCTCCAAAGGGAGAAGCATGTTGCCTGACCTGCTTTAGAAGCTCACTAGCATTCCTATGGTCATCAGCTGCAACAGCTTGAGCACAGCTAATCAGAAGAGTTCTCAAATCCACAACCTCCTTTTTCCCACTTTGCTTCTTCCGACGACCTCTCCCACCATTAGACTCCTTTAGTTGCCCAGTCTGCAGCATGCTTTTGATTTTAGCATTCCGTAATTCCTGTCGAAATGAAACTAACCGATCGTGCCCCTCCCCTGCACTACAAAGCAACACAATATCAAACATCTTAGATCGCAAGGTTGACTCGGTAGATATAGCTGCTTGCTTGCTGCTTCTCTCTTCTTCCAAATCTCCATCCTCATCATGCAGATTCTTTCTAATTCGTGACTCAAGTGACAAAGTCTTCCTCTGATCATTTCTTGCAGCCTTCACATACATCTGGCACGTTCCCTCATCCAAACCCTGAGTTGCTGACTCGTTTCCCTCAAAATCAAGACACAGGTTGTTTCCACCGGGTAAAAATTTGCTAGCCTCTTCAAGCCCTTTTTGGAACTGCCAAATAGATTGGCTTCTGTTGTTAGGCTCAGGGATTCGAATTGCATTATTCGAGAAGTCCACCCACCCATCAGCCCCATTAACTATCCTATTTGAGGAGCTATTAGATGATGGAGAAATAGTATCACCTAAGGTGCTTCTGATTCGAAACACATCTCCACTCTGAGTTTCAAAAGCGTTATCATCACCATAATAAGAAGTATTATTGTAACCAATCAGGTAATTACTACTATCTCCACAAAGTTCTTCATTGAAGCTATCACTGTATTGATTGCCCAGAGATCTATTTGGCTCCGGGGAAGGAGGATACTTTTTCCCGAGAACCTCGTAGAATGGTTTCTCAGCGGCTTGAAGATCCAAAGAATCTTGTAGCATGCAAGTCTTGTCCTCCATATCTTCTTCCATGAGAATCTGATTTATAAATCTCAAAACAGCATCAGAAAAATCGCAATCTTCCAGATAATCCTCCTCGTGACTCGCATCATTCGAAGATGAGGTGATAACGCTGGAACTTGAGGCTATAGTACTCGGTGATGGATCAGGAGGAAGGCAATCAAATTCTTGGAAGCTATGACTCATAATGGTATTCTGAAATATAGACCCTATACCATCCTCTTGTGATTGAACCAAAAAAGAACCATTATCTAAAAGAATTCCGTTCATGGAACCACCATGTCGTCTAAGGCGTGGATCCATTTCAAAGCTGCGATTAATCTAACAGTGAAAAATCCTAAGAAACACAAAACTTAAACCCACTCCCTCCCCGCCCCCCAAAAAGCAAAAAAAAAAAAAAACCCTCAGCAATTCAGTAATCAAGCTTCCGAATATAACCAGCTCCTAGTAAATATGATCACCGGAGTAGCTGGAAAAACAGACAGATATCGATACTAGAAACTCAAATTATCAATTATTCAAATGAAGTTCTCAAATAATCGATACCAATTTCAAACATGCATAGGAGGAGAACGATCACAGAAACTGTAAAGGTACTTAATAAGCTTTGCTTTCAGTAAAGGAAACAAATGCGTACCTCACAGAAACCCTAGCTTAGAGAGAAGGATAGAGAAGCCAAATGAAAGGTAGAGAATTCGAGTTCCGACTAAAAGCTTCGTCTCTGTGAATAAAATTAGCCAAGACTCCCCCGCTGGTTCATCTGAAGCTGCGATGATGCCAAAAAAAGTCGCCGAGGTTCGAAGACCAATCCTAGCCGTCGATTCCAATCACACCGGCTCAGCCAGTTGCCCTGATGAAAATTACCGATAATTCCCGTATTTTCCTAATAAACATGTGAAAGCTATTTGCATTACCGAAAAATCCTCCATTCACAGTGCGAGACGTGTCAAATTATTCCACGTCAACCCGCATTAAGTATGAAGGTTACTAAAATACCCCTGACATAAAAAGTGGATGGGGACCACAGTCAGCACGTGTCGGAACGTGGAATAGATTGGCTGTAGTCGGCCCCACAAAAGGAGCCAATGAGATGAAGAGAAAGTTGAAAAGTCTCCAGTAAAGTGCACGTCCTCCGTAGGTTGACCCTGTTTCAACTTAACCGCATTTGCCGGTTCGGCGCGAACCGGATTCGGTTGTTTTTGGAACTTACCCACAGCTATGATTCAAGCCGATTGAATCTGCACCGTTCAATGCATCGCACCTATCACACCCACACGAAAATAAGATAGCTTTGAAAATAAAATCGGTGGATTTTGAAATCTACACCGTTCAATGCATGGGTATTTCTCATAAAAATGACACTAAAATTAATTTTAAATTGAAATTTGTGAATTTTTACATATTTTTATTTGATGGTTAACTTTTATTTTAGTATTGATTTGTATAGGTCTTGCTTCTATTGAAATTATTGAATTTATAAATATTTTCTCTTTTTAATTAAATGAAAAGACGTTATTGCCCTTAGAACTGAACCCTACAAAAAGAAAATGTTGAAATTAAATGAAGAAAAGTTGTAGGGATAGATTTAACATTTTAATTGGGTGGGGCCCTTTTATAAATCCAAAAATTCCACGTGTCATCACCGAACAGCAACTTAGGGTGAGATCGATCGTCCAGGACGATCTCCAGGGCCAGTTCTCAGCAGTAACACAAATACCAAACCAGGCATTAAGATCCATAGAAAAATCGCCGTCTGTGGGAATCGAACCCACGACCACGTGGTTAAAAGCCACGCGCTCTACCGGCTGAGCTAAGACGGCTACACGTTTAGAATGTTTATCAGTAACAATAAGTAAAAAAAAAAAGTAGGGAAGATACTGATAATAGATTTTAAAATTTTTAAAGTAAATTTTTAATGGATAATAGATTTCTAAATTTTATAAACGATATTCTTAGATTTAATTTTGTGTTTTAATATATTAATTAAAATTTAAAATTATGAACAAATATTAACACAAAATAAAAAAAAAAATCTGATATTTATTAGAAATATATTTTTTTTCATTTTTTAAACGGTTAATTTTAATCTGAGTATCACTTGGATGTGAACTCTCTAATAATTCATCTTTGGGTTGGGCACTGACCGGCGCCGGCGAATCTCCGGCTAGTGATTGGGGAAGGACGTGAGTGTCGCTTTCGAGAATTCAGCTTTTGCAGACTGCGACTGGCATTTGGTCGAACAAGAGGATCCCCCTCAATTTCACGGTAGCTTTGAAACATCAAATCCCTTTTTTCCTTTTTCCTTTTCTTTTGAATCACTATTTTCATAGATTCCCCCTTTTATTTGTCATTCAATTTGGTTAATCATAGGCTGCTTTTTTCCCCGTTTTCCAATCGTTTCAGAAAAATGAAATCACGTAGAGGTAAGTAAGCATTAAATGATGAAGAATAGTTGAAGAAATGGGAAAGGGGGGAAGAACTAGAAGGAGAGGAGACTGGAAGGTGGGGTGGGGCAGCGATGGGGTGGGGGGGGGGGGGGGGGGGGGGGGGGGGGGGGGGGGGGGGGGGGGGGGGGGGGGGGGGGGGGGGGGGGGGGGGGGGGGGGGGGGGGGGGGGGGGTGGAGAAGATAACGAGACGTAACGCATCACTGACGAAGTTGCGGGGAGAGGGAAGGACGACTGCAGCAGCCGCAGAGGAAGGAAGGTCGAGTCTCCATCAAACTCCGTCACCTCGGGCCGCGAAACCCGGACTACAGTCCACCCTCTCAAACATCCTCACCCACTGCATTTCAGTTTCTCTTTCTAGGGTTCCTCTTTTTTGACGTCAGAGCTTTAGAATTCGCACTTTTGGAGGCCCACCGGTGAACGATTGTCTTCTTCTTCCCACTCTGACTCCGCCCTGATGGACGCTCAGGTTCGTCTCTAGGTTAAACCCTTCTACTTCTTTTAGCTTCTTAAGCTTTAGCCCTACCTGCCTGCCTCATTCACTCTGCTCCGATTCACGTTTCCATGTTGGATTATTCAAATTTGGATCATAATAAGCTTTAGAAATGATTTGAATCTTGAACTATGCTCATTGCTTGTCTCATTCCATGTGGAAATTTAAGTTTTAGTTTCAATAATATTCAATTATCGAAACATCCCATCATCTATTTGATCTTTATTACTATTCTTGCGTAGAAATACATGAATTATTCTCTGGTCCTTTTAATGTGCTCTAAGAAACTTGTATAGAATTAGACAGTGTGTAAAGGAGAGAAGAAAAAAACAGTAGAATCTTTGTGTTTCTGGTATTAGTATGTTCAAATTCAAAAGCTGAAAACGTTTGTGTACCAGACTGGTTAAAGGCATATAGTTTGCTAAGGTTCAAATTCTTATTTGATCTAAGCGTGAAAGATTTGAAGGTTAAGCGCTGAAACCTCTTGGCAGCATTAAATGCCAAGCAACACCCACTCTCTTACCCTTTCTCTCTCTCTGCAGCTCTGATCCTCAGCTGTTTCGCTCTGTCTCAATCGTCCCCTCTGGCTTTATACATATATATGGAACAGTGACTAAACGAGAGCTAATGCTGCTGTGGCTGTGCCTCAGTGGAACACCCACTGCTAGCCCTTTCCCTCTCTTCTTTGGCCTCTTTCTCAGCCCCCTTCTCTCTCTCTTCCTTATATTTCTTCCTTTTCTCTTCACATTCGCCTTTTCCAATTCCATTATCCTCCATCCTTCAATTCTCTCTCCCTTTTGTGGCTTCTACAGAACTGGGTTTCTGCCCTTTGTTCCTTTTCTCTCTTTGTTTCCACTGAATTGGTTCTGTTTTGCTGAGGAGGCTCGTACTTACCACTATCAGTGTATGCACTCATCTCTCTTTTGGCTTTTCATATTTCTTGTGTCTGTTTTCTTGTTCGATGTGTTCTTTAAGGACTTTGAGTGCAGTCCCTTGTGAGAAAAGAGTTCTGATGGCTATGTGATGATGCCTTTAATCCTTTTTTTCTTCTGCTATCTCTGTTGCTTCGAAGAATGGGAATTCTGGGTCGCTTTCCTTGTTTAATTCTGCTAAGTTTTGCTGAATTTTCTTGGATGAAGGGCAGTTTTTGGGGTAATGTTCAAACGGGTTTGGTTTGTTGAACCTTTTAAAGAAGTTCCATTTGTATTACTTTTTTATATATGCCTACTTGTATGAAATGATTTCCTTGTGGATGCTTATTATCTTCTTTTTGTTCTCTGTTTGAGTTCATGGGCAATTTCCAGCGTTGCAAATTCCCAGATTCTTCCTGTTCTTATGACTGTTTATGTCTGATTTCTTGTTTGGTTGAGGTTTATATGTTCAGGCATTTATGAAGAACTTTGAGATTTGACGTCAGTTGGAGAGGAGAACGAAACATTCTTTATAAGGGTGTGTAAACCTCTTTTGAGTAGACTTATTTTAAAAACCTTGAGGTGAAGCCCGAAAAGGACATATCTGCTAAGCTGTTACAAATATTATCACTCCGATGTGCCTGCGAAAGTCGTTAGGCCTCCAAGTGGGGTGGATTATGAGATCCTACCCCAGTTAGAGAGGAGAACAAAAAACATTCCCTATAAGGATGTGGAAACTTCTCCCTAGTACACACATTTTAAAACCTTGAGGGAAAGTTCAGAAAGAAAAGTCTAAAGGGGACAATATTTGTAGATGGTGTGGTTGAGCTGTTACATAAACCATGTTTTGTTGCTGTTTGTTGTTTGATTGTCAGTTGTCCTTAAATTTGTTGCCATTTTAACATCTTCTTATGATATTTATGACATCTTGAAATCCTTTCAGAGATGCTGTGAAGTAGTAAGCTTTGTAAGTCCTATAAATGATGCACATACAAAATATTGGTTAGTTCTTGGAGGTTTGAACTCAACACTGAGTACAGAGATGCTCTATATTTGTGAAGGAATAGAATAGAAATCTTACTTTGAACCTTACCTCATGGCCACTTCCAATGGAGGCTTTCTTCAAACTGATTCATCAACGCCACCACCATCTCTTCCTCCATGGCTTTCAAACTCCAACAGCAGCTCATCGCTCCGACCGCCTTCCCCGTCCGTCACCTTAACACTCTCTTCCCCAACAGTTCCAGCCTACTCTCCAATCCCCTGGCTGCAGCAGCCAGAGAGAATCCCAGAAACCATGCCTCTTGTGTTAGGCAACATAGCACCTCAAATGACCATGCCATCATGTGGTGGAAGCCTCTTCGCTTCAGAGCTCGTCGAATGCTGCCGAGAGCTCGATGAGGGCCACCGTGCTTGGGCATCGCACAAGAAGGAAACGGCATGGAGGTTAAGGAGACAGGAGTTGCAATTGGAATCAGAGAAGGCGTCCCGAATTCGACAAAAGATGGAGGAGGTTGAAGGGAAAGTGAAGGCTGTTAGAGAAGAAGAGAAGATTGCTTTGGAGAGGATTGAAGCTGAGTATAAGGAGCAATTGGCTGGGTTGAGGAAAGATGCAGAGGCCAAAGAACAGAAGTTAGCTGAGCAATGGGCTGCAAAACACTTGAGCCTCACTAAGTTTCTTGAACACATGGGTTGCAGAACTAAAATTTCAGAGTCCAGTGGGAGGTGAGAAACCAAAAGTTTTGGAATTGGCTTTGAATTTCTTCATGGGAAATCCCTCCTTTTATATCTATTGACATCTCAAGTCATGCATCAATGTCCTATATTTGCTTTGTAATCAGAAGTTTGTTGTAATGAATTCTTGCTCGAGTAGCAACGACTTTGATAGGACATCATGTGAGCTCTCACAATCGAATACGAGTTATTATTAGAGTAAATACTCGCAGCATTGTGTGACTAATAATAGGGTACCCATTGGGTAGTATGAGCCATTTTTCAAGTTTAATATTTACTTTGTATCGTTATGTTGTTTTAAAGACTTTTTGAAAGCCCATGACAGTGTTCTAAGATGATGTTTTAAATGCTTATTTTCGGGAGAGAATGGTATAAAGATAGTAACGATTATCTGAAGTTAAATTTTAATATTATTAAAGAGAAAAAGAGAGATAAATTGAGGGACACGTGAAATGGGCCTGGCCTGTTAGGAACGAAATATGAAGTTTATTATTACTATTTTAAATTTATTTAAAGAACAATAGTTACGCAACCGTAGAAGATACAATCAACTACTTCCCGGGGTTCTGCATTTTTCGTTCTTAATTTCAACCATTTTGGACGTTTTTCATACGTATTACTTTCCTTCATCGATGAGCTTTCTGTGGACGATGTGTATTTTTCTCTACGTTGATCGTGATTCAGAAATTTGGCTGGGGTGAGGGGATAAACAAGATAAATTTCAGTGTGAAATTCACTGATCGATGATTGATTGAATGATTGAGACCGAGGATTGAATTTTGGAGTTTCAGAATTCCTATCTAGTAGTTGTTGACTAGAGTTGAAACCTGGGGAGAGAAACCTCTCGGCTACGGCGCTGTTTTTGTTTCGGTGACTGGCTGGTGCCGTATTGGCGCTACTGGAGAATGGACAATATGGATACATGTTCGCCTTCTGAATCTGCTCCACTTAAGCCTCGTGATCGAATAGTGCTGGTATGCGATTCTGTTTTCCTGTTTTCGATTTGTACATTGCATTTCGTATTCGGTGTTGATTTAGATAGGGATCGTTCTTTTGAATCATCCCTTGTACTTTGCTTTTGCTCATCTTGCAAGCAGTATGTGTTGGTGTTACTTTGCTTTTCCCCACCCTGCAAGCAGTAGCTGTTGATGTTCTTCTTCCTGGAAATGGATGTATTGGTCCTTAGTTTGTAAATGAGTTTATCCTTTTCTATAAATCGGAGTTTCTGTTCAATTTCGACTTGGAAAGGAGATGGGGATTCTAGTCCCGCTAGTATCTCGATCAGTTTTGCTTATCATCTCTGTTTACTTCTTCATAATTCTGATTCCTTTGTTTGTCAGCGGCTTGCTGTACTTGGAGTTCCTGATGAGCTATTGGATCAGCTTCAACCTGGTTTAGTTTCTTTTGTCAAGGACAACAAGTATCTGATACCGCAGATGGTATCTGTAATTTTGCCTACTGATGTAGAAGTGGTAAAAGCTATACGAGAAGCGAAAGCAGGGTCCAAAAAATCTGTGACGGGCCCAACCATGAAAAATCAATTCCGTGAGAGCATGACGTGGTTACAGTGGTTGATGTTTGAAGGTGAACCAGCTTCTGCTCTGAAGAACCTGTAAAAAATGAGTGTTGGCCAGCGTGGTGTATGTGGTGCTGTTTGGGGACATAATGATATAGCTTACAGGTGCCGAACTTGTGAACACGACCCAACTTGTGCAATTTGTGTCCCTTGCTTTCAAAGTGGGAATCATAAGGACCACGATTACTCCATAATTCATACAGGTGGTGGTTGCTGCGATTGTGGCGATGTGACAGCATGGAAGCGGGAAGGTTTTTGCTCAAAGCATAAAGGTGCAGAACAGATACAACCACTCCCAGAGGAATTTGTTAAATCTGTAGAGCCTATACTTGATGTACTCTTCACTTGTTGGAAAAGCAAACTCTTATCTGCTGAATATATCAGTGTGGAAGACTCTAAATTGAGTGATCGTGTTACAGAGCATAAAAAGGTTGCAAATGAGTTAACATTTGCTGTGGTTGAGATGCTTTTAGACTTCTGCAAGTACAGTGAAAGCTTACTCAGTTTTGTTTCAAAGAGGGTGATTTCTTCAGCTGGCTTATTGGATGTTTTGGTGGGGTTGGCGAGGCTATTAACTGAAAGTGTAGTGAAGAAAGTCCACGAGTTATGTCTTAAATTGCTAGCAGAACCTGTATTTAAGTACAAATTTGCGAAAGTTTTTTTGAATTATTATCCTAATGTTATCAGTGAAGCAATAGAAGACAACAGTGACCACGTTCTGAAAAAGTATCCTCTATTGCCAACTTTCTCAGTGCAAATATTCACTGTTCCAACACTTGCTCCTCGTTTGGTGGAGGAAATGAACTTATTGTCCATCCTTTTGGGATGTTTAGAAGATATATTCATTTCTTGTTCAAGCAAAAATGGGCGCTTGCAGGTAAAGCATCCTTACTTATTTTCAGCTCTGAGCACTCAGCAATTGTTATGCTGTTCTGCATTCATATAATGTGTTTCTAGGTGTAGACAAATGTGTAATTTGCACCTCATATAGACACTGGCAATAAAATACAAGCGACCATATGTTACTAATATTAATTTTCAATTGATACTCTTTTTGGTATGCTTCTGCTTATTTGTTTTCTTATATTTTCTCTTCTCCCGTATATAGGTTATAAAGTGGAGTAATTTGTGTGAAACCACCATTCGTGTAGCTGAAGATGTTAGATTTGTCATGAGTCATGCTGTAGTGCCCAGATATGTGATCTATGAGCAGCAAGATATTTTAAGAACTTGGTTGAGACTGCTTACTTTTGTGCAAGGAGTGGATCCTCAGAAGAGAGAAGCAGGCATCCATATAGAAGAAGAAAATGAAAATATACATTTACCTTTTGGTTTAGATCATTCTGTTGCCAACATCCACTCTTTATTGGTGAATGAAGCATTTTCTGCTGCTAGTAGTAGTAGCAGCAGTAGTGAAGATACAGCTGATGCAATGTCTTTCCAAACGTACAAGACGAATCCAGATGACATAGATAGTGTTAGATATGCTAAAGTAGGACGTTTATCACAGGAAAGTGCTGCATGTAGTTTGTTGGGAAAGAGTACTACATCCACTTCTGCATCAAAAGTTGATGAAGTTCGTTTAGATACAATTTCACCAACTATTATGTGGCTGACTTACGAGTGCTTGAAGACCATCGATAGTTGGTTGGCAACAGAAAATGCATCTGGAGGTATTTCAAACATGTTTGATGAATACATTCGCATGGCCCCTAGTTGCATATTTTATTCATCGAGAAAAACCTCTGCCCTGGAACCAAAGAAAATGCCATCTAAGATGGGGAAAGGTAAATTTATTTTAGAGAAGCTTGCTAGAAGAAGCAAAGACCATAATAGGCAATATTCCTCACGTATGTACAGTGGCCTTCAAATGAGTATTGACATTGAGCATGGTATAAGTCATGGAGAAGACAACCAATTGATGGATATGACTAATGATACAGTTACTGTTGAGGACTATGCCATGGAGATTGATGCACTAGATTATCTAAGCTTGTCTTCTTGGCCAAACATAGTTTTTGATGTTAGTTCACAGGACATATTCATTCACATCCCATTACATCGACTGCTTTCCTTGCTTTTACAGAAGGCATTGAGAAGCTGTTTTAGTGAATCTGCGGTGACAAATGCAACAGGTGCCAGTTCCTCAAATTTGTCGTCTGAATCTGTGGACTTCTTTAGAAGTGTTCTTACAGACTGTCATCCATATGGTTTTTCTTCATCTGAATCTGTGGAGCATCCTCTACGCATTAAAGTTTTTTGTGCTGAGGTTAATGCTGGAGCGTGGCGGAGGAATGGAGATGCAGCCCTATTATCTTGTGCAGCCCTATTATCTTAGTGAGTTGTATCGATCAGTCCGCTGGTAAGTTAATTTTGGGTAATGAAGGACTTGTGTTCCATCTTATTTTTCACGGTGTAAGGAAACTTGCTGCTATTTTAATGGCTTCATAACAGGTCAGAACAATGTCTGGAGCTTGATCTCTTTTTGTTGCAGTGCTGTGCGGCAATGGCTCCACCTGATTTTTATGTCAGTAGAATTTTAGAACGCTTCCAGCTATCAGACTATCTTTCCCTAAATGTTGAAAGCCCTAGTGAGTATGTACTCATCTATTACTTTGACTTGGAACGTTACTGTTCTTCTAAAATAAGGTGCAACTTAAACCCTTGTTAATGCGGCACTGAATCACACATTACATCTATATATAATAATATGTTTTTAAAGAAACCAAAATTTTCATTGAATCAGCAAAAAGTTTGAATAACACAGAGGAATTCAAAAGAGATCTTAGAATCTTCAAGGATACAGAAAAGGAAACCCTATTTTTCTAGATTTCCACGCACTCTACTCTAACACTCCCTATATTAAGTTTCTGTTCAGATATTCCTTCCAGTACATTGGAATATCCTCTTTCTTTTGTTAATTCTCATAAGTTTCAGGGGGAAAAAAAACTTTATAAGGGGCATGTTCTGTATACATGATAGTTAGTTGAGACACTAACATCACGAAAGTGTTGAGAAAAGATGTGGGTAATTTCTACCATTTGGCAAATTATGTGGATATAGATAATTATATTGGAAACAAAGATACATAATGGGTGGGAGCGTACTTGCAGTCACATTTAACTACATATGCTTTACAGTTATCCCTTCCAGAAATTATTGCTTTGTTTTTAAAAGATATAAAATGATCGTTCTTCAGGTATGAGCCTATTTTAGTTAAAGAGATGCTCACATTAATCATACAAGTAGTCAATGAAAGGAGATTTTGTGGACTCACTGTAGCCGAAAGCTTGAAGAGAGAGTTGATTTACAAGTTAGCAATTGGAGATGCTACTCATAGTCAACTGGTGAAAGCACTTCCTCGTGATCTTTCCAAGTGTGATCAGCTACAGGAAATTCTAGATACAATTGCTGTGTATTCCAATCCCTCTGGATTTAATCAGGTTATACCCTTTACCAGTTTTGGATCTCTGTTGACATTCTTATTTTTGTTTATTATTATTTCTTAAGATATAATTTGTTTCAGGGGATGTATTCTTTACATTGGAAATATTGGAAAGAATTGGATCTGTACCACCCTCGTTGGAGTATACAGGATCTGCAGATTGCTGAAGAACGATACTTGAGGTCGTGTGGTGTCTCTGCTTTGACCTCACAGCTACCTAAATGGACTAAAATTTATCCTCCTTTTAGAGGATTGACTAGAATAGCTACTTGTAAAACAGTCCTTCAAATTGTTCGTGCTGTTCTGTTTTACTCTGTTTTTACTGAGAAATCAACTAAATCACGCGCCCCAGATAGTGGCCTGTTAACTGCACTGCACTTGCTAGCGTTGGCATTGGACATTTGCTTTATGCAAAAGGAATCGAGCAATCCATCGCTTTATGCTCGAGATTCTATTCCTTTGCTTCTATTTGCTGATAAAGAAATTGATGAGGGTTTGACATGTGGTTTCGGCTGACAAAGCTTGTTATCTCTTCTTATTTTGTTAATGAAAATGCACAAGGAGGAAGGTCGAGAAAACTTATTGCAGGCTGGAAGTTGCAACCTATCCTCTCTGGTTGGAAGCTTGTTGAAGAAATTTTCAGAGATTGATTCTTGTTGCATGGGCAAGCTTCAGCAACTTGCGCCTGAAATTCTTGGTTACCGTACACAGTCTGTGCCAAGTAGTAATACTAATAGCCCAAGTGTAACTTCTGATAGTGAGAAGCGGAAGGCCAAGGCTCGACAGAGACAGGCTGCTATATTGGTAAGATGTTTTCTTCCTCTTCTTCTTTCTGAGTTAGTATCTTTTTTTTTTTTTTTCTTTTTTATATTTCTATTATTTTCCTCCAAGGAAAAAACTGCTTTCCATTTGATAGATAGTTAACTAGTATTTGGGTGGCATTCCTTTTGTTCTGATCTTTTAATGGTTTTGATTGAAGTTAAGGTTCCTCGGATAATAAAAATTCGTCTGCTTTTTATGATATAAGGGCCTCATCTACCTGGGGAAACTTCGGCTGCATTCACACACTGAGATGGTGTTAATTCCACTTCTGTTTTTAAATGAGCTTTGGTTTAATTACTTACTTGGGTGGTTGTTGTCTGCAGGAAAAAATGAGAGCTGAGTACTCTAAATTTTTGGCTAGTGTTGATCCCTCTATGGACGAATATGATACAGAAATTGGGCAGCAGTCTGAGAAGCCCAATGTCAGTGATAGTGCGGAACAGTCTGAAACTGTTTGCTCGCTTTGCCATGATTTTAGTTCCAGTGTTCCTATTTCTTTTCTGATTCTTTTGCAGGTATGTAATTAGCTGTTTTTCGTTTCTTTTAACTTCAATTTATTTCCCAATTTTGGTTTCGTTTGTATAAATTGATTCATCCCCTACAGATTTCATATACTGATTTTAAAATTTTTGTCTTAAACAAGAAATCAAAGCTTGTGAGTTTAATTGATCGAGGTCCTGTGTCATGGGATCAACCTTACTGGAGAGATGAACATGCCTCAACAATGTCAAAAAGGGACCTTGATCAATCTAGGTTATGCACCTCCTCTGCAGGTTCAGGAGTGATTTCATCTCCGCAGTTAGCTGAGCTCATTCAGAACGTCATGAGCACTTTCCTCTTTGTATATAGAGGTTTCTACCACCTAGCTCTTTTATATTTTCTTTTATGTCTCTTGGAAAATGGATTTCTTTGAAGACAGAATTGACAATGTTTTGGTGTGTTAGAGTTTAGGGCTCTTAAGTTATTTTTACGATATAAGGTCATTTTAACGATATAAAGTCTTTTTAACGATACAAGGTCTTCTCACTAATTTGATTGCTACCATAAATTATACTACAAAATACATGAAGACGTTATGTCAATACATGAAGACATACTCTCGATTAGGAGATTAAAAGTTTATCTCCCACCGCCCCATCTTGAAAAGAAAAAAAAAAACATACACGACCCATGTGCCCCTAGGTTCACATTTAATAACTGTCCATGTGCAAAAATACTGCAGACATATCTAAGGGTTTCTATTTCTATAATTATACGATCCAAAAATATGACAACCATACTAATTTTAATTTTCTTCCTCGAGTCATATAACAATTCCCTTGGGGCCTGGATGAACTCGAAAACAAAATAAAAATAACAAAACCACTGGATAATCAGATTTAAACACAGCACTCCAGAATCGTAGAATTTTTTCTTCATTGAAATGTGAATTTTTACAAGTTAAAAAAATCAAAATTTATTCCATAAATATCAGAATTTTAGCCATTCGAAACTGGTCAGAGATAATGAAACATGTTTTCGTGGACACTAAAAAATAGAAAAACCTTAGGCCTATTTGCAATTGTAAAAAATAAAAAAGTTAAAAAATATATGTACCGAGGATCTAAGCAAATAGACAATTTTCGATACCGGTTGCTGCTTCAGTAAACACTGAAAATATGGACACCATTTTTTTCTGGATATAAACTTTCCGGAGTGGGGCATTCCATCGCTGAGGCTGCCAAAGATGGAACTGTATCAGTAAGTTCTCAGAAAGCATCTCAAATGGTATATTATCTCATGCTATTTACAATGCATTTGTTAAGCATTTGGGAGAATGGGGACCAACCTAACAGTGATATAAACTAGAAGATTGAGTGTTTAGATATCCTAAAAGATTAGATGAAATGGTTGATTCTAGTTTAAAAACTCATAACTTAGATGATGCACAGACAAGAGTAGCATCGAACTTGATAATAGTAGCATCCAAAAGTTATCATAAGCCCACCCAAGATCCTTATTCTGAAGGTGGATCCACACAAAGAGTCGCCTATAACTTTTTTGCATTCACAAAGCAGACTATTATTGACGACTTTTCAAGAATCTCTCTAACTAAATTGAAAATAAAACTCGATCCACATGATTAATATCCGTGTTAGGAGTTTCAATAGAAAATGAGAATATGACTAACAGAAGAAAGTTGCAAAAACTTACAGTTCAGATTTTGCCATCATATTGTTTGCTAAGGAATTCTCAATCTGGATGAGATCCAATTTGATTATGCTGACTTGATAGTATGATTGTTTTTCTCCTTGTCAAATGCGAACTCTAGTTGCTTTTCCACAGATTTTGAGATAGCTGTTCGCTTGGATGTTAACCGGTAGGGAGGAGATGCATTGAAGGCCTTACTGTTTGACCTGCTGGGGCTATGATCAATACTTGGACTGTCACATAAGCTTCCATTTGGTGAACCCAACATGCTGTCACTATTATTAAGTGTTTCTTCTAGTCTGGATTCTTGGGAAATGTCCTTGACTGTTTCCGTCTCTCCGTCCTGCGCTTGCTTAAGAGGTAAACAAGTTTGAGCTTCTGTCTTTCTCTTTCGTAATATTGACGGAGTGCTGGGAAAACTTCTAGCTGCAATTCTCAATATCGACTCTGGACTGTGTATACTCAAGTCTCTAGTCTTCACACAAGGAGGGGTGAAGATACCAATAGGCGAAGTAATTAAACTACTATTTGTCTCGTGCATGTATATGCTTAAAAGTTCTGAATCTACTGGAATACGACTTTCTAATTTAGGTGGCTCATAGTACAATGAACCATATTTTGGAGATTCAAATCTCAAAGGTGTTCGTGTAGTTTTATCTTCATCTAATTTGCTAATCTCACTGTCTGATTCCCCCTGAGTTTTAGTCCCATTCTTTCGTGCTGACCCAGATTTCCTAACTCTTAGATTCGTAATATTTGAAGGTCCTGGCCAGCATTTGACATGTCTAGAATCAGCAGACTCATTCAAAACACCACTCGTTGAAGCAACCACATCTTCATCAGGAGGTGCTGAAGACTCAATCTGGTCTTTGCTACTTCCGTCCAATTTGTAGAAATCTGTGTTACCTGATGATGTTTGGGCAGTTGAGTCCGACCCTCTGCTAGAGTGAGGAGGAAAGTTTTTAATAGGTGGAGTCCTAGTAGCATCTCTAGCACCATTCTGGGAACTATTTTTTGAAACTGGTGGAAGCTTCCCGGTCGCCAGATAGAAATCCAATTTTTTCTTCAAGGAACTATTCCAATGGTTTTTTATCCCATTGTCGGTCCTGAATATAGGAATACGCCATACCATTATAACCAATTCAAGCGAAAACAGGAATACGCCATACCATTATAACCAATTCAAGCAAAAACATTCCTTTTCCTACGCAGGATGAACTGTATTCATATTTGTGCTCATTGTGTGATAACTTATTTAACACCATCTTTCTATATTTTCTACCATTCATTCAGCATGAAAATAAATTCTTCAAATAAGAGACAAGATACACAAACTTAGGGTTGTTTCCAAATGAATACCAAGCAGAATGTAAGACCAGATCAGTAGAAAAACGTCATGAATTTAATTAGATAGAACTCGACAGGCAGTTGTACACATGACCTACATATAGTCATTTGTCCCTTCTCTATGCGTGTTTCTATCTTTGTTTATCTCTTTTTCCTTTCTTTCTTTTTCTTATTTTCATCGAGGTATTGAATTTCACAAAAACAAGAAACAAGAATGAGTACCTTCCAGGTAAAACCCTGGCTATTTCAGCCCATTTGTTCCCATGTAACCGATGTGCATTCATGAGGGCTAATTCCTCTTCCAATGTCCAAGCATCCTTCTTTATATCTGGATTTAAATGATTGTGCCACCTGAGAATAATAAAATATTGATTTACAATAGATACAAAAAATCTAAATCCCCTCAATAATCTGAAAGAACAAAACATGAAGACAGGAAGTTCAGAAACCACAACACAAACAAATCTTATTATCTTTTAGGTAAGTAAACAAGAAATCACACAGTCAGTCAGTAGGGCAATTGATTATAATAATTAAGGGGAAACATGATCAACTTCCAAGAAACCTCTAAATTGCATTTACAATTCAAAATCAAGACTTCAGGTAATGGTTATAGGTTAAAAGGGATACCTCTCTCGGCATTGTTTCCCTATGCGACCTGGCAAAGATTTTGCTATCAAAGACCATTTGGTAGGCCCATACTTGGATACCAGTTCAATAATTTTATCATCTTCCTATAAAAATGAAAAACAAAATGATAAATTTTCACTATACATGCAAGAAATAAAGCATCCAAGATAGAAGACACCGAGTAAAGACCTCCTGTGCCCACGGCCCTTTAACGAGGTCTGGATTGAGAACCTTCTGCCATCTATGCAGACATTGAACTTCTGATCTATCATGGAAGTACTCAGCTGCACAAAAAAAAAAAAAAAAAAAAAAAAAAAAAAAACCAAAGAGATTTGATGAGGTTAATAAAACTAACAAAGTTGCATAATAAATATGACAAACAAAAACAGGACCATATTGATAATTGATTTATTTGTATCAGTGTCAGGCTGTCATAATTTTTATTTATTTATTTTTATATATACATGAGTGTTGGGCTAGTTAGGTTGTCATAACAAGTGATAGTAATTACTAGTCAGGCAACCCACTCATCATCGATTAAAGATATTTAAAAAGTATTCTTAGAGTTGAATGAGCAATATATATACATAGTAAATATCAGCCCAATTAAGACAAATGACCATCCATATATATATATATATATATTTCTTCAGCTGAGGCTTAGAAAATTTCAATGGCGCAAAATGCAAACATAGTACAACTCCATACTACTACTGCCAAGAATACCCATCCAAAGTTTAAAAGCTTGTAATGCCTTCCCTATAGGACCAACCACAAATTTAAAACAGAAAAAATATTTAACATAAGTTTTCCTATTAGTTATTAGATGAACGCATAAATTGCTTCAAGACTACCTTGACAGTTGAAAATATCCCCGATTCATCAGATAAAATAAAGACATGAACTTTAAAGCCGAAGGATAAAATCTAAAATCCTTTTTAAAAAATGAATTCCATAGCAACGAGAATAGAGAGAAACCTATTTTCTTCCAATGTTTCCCTTTAAAAGCTGCAACAGCATTTCTCAACGTCTCATCCTGAAAAAGAAGCACATCACAAGTCAAGACAAGTGCTCCATGTTCTTATAAGTTAAGATATCTGGAAATCAAATCTTCTTTATCCTATGCAAAAATGCTTTACTTTTTCAAAGCTTGGTACATGTCATGACCATCATAGCTAGAAACTATGCAACACAAACAACTAAAAGAGGGGATAATCAATGCTTACCTCTTGCGGAGTCCAACCACCCTTAGCTCGGCGAATAGGGCCACTAGTTCTCCTGCCAAGTCAAATTACACATTTAAGCAAAAATGACCGAGAGTTCTTTGAACTGATCATAAGCAGTATAGAATCATTCCATTTTCAGTAACTTTTGCAGTCCATTATGAAATACGAATAGCTGCCTTATTAACCGAATGTCTAGAAACAATAACAAAAAGTTTCTTCATCAGTAAATGTCTCTGCACATTGCTAAACCAAACACTGAGTCGAAGAACTTTGTGAAATTACCGACGAGCAGGAGATGTTGATGCTGGACTACACATCCCAGGAGATTTAGCAGTTGCGCTACCACTACCTTCAGAGACAGAGGAACTCGAAGCCGCCGTAGATTGCTTATTTTCAAGACAACACTCTTCTTGTTTCACCTCTTCCATCTACTCCTAGAACCATCTCCAAAATTCAAAAATCCTAATTACAGAATAAATTACCACCTCAAATTGTAACCGAAAAACCAACAGCAAGCTACTAAAGCAACAATCCGTAAAAAAACCTCATCTACTATCAAGTTCACCTAAACCGGAAAACAAAAACTCAGATCTTAAAACCAGCAATCAGATCGAAAACTTGCGGAGAGAATCACAATTGTAGGGTTTTAGAGACGAAAAGCTCGAAAAACTGAAAGAATCCTGCCCCAATCAGAGCAAGGTTTATGAAAAATAACGAAAACACATGATCAAACAGTCGACAAGATTGAGGGAAAATCAATAGAATTAGAAAACAAATTCGAAGCATCTGAGAGTATAGAAAGTTACCTCTTCTCGTAAGGAAGTGGCGGGAATCGAAGTGGAGCAGAAGGAAGCGATGAAATTAGTTCAACACCAAAGGAACCACCGTTCCTTCAGAAACGAATACTTTTGTTCTAGTTTCGAAAATCGTCGCCCGTTGAAACAAAAGTAGAGGCGAAAACAGAGAGAGAGAGAGAGAGAGAGAGAGAGAGAGAGTAAAAGAAATATATAATATATATAATTCTTTTTAAAATTTTATAAAATTCTCAAATTTTGCAATATTTGTACATAACGAATATATAAGACCACCGACGTCTCCGTTAATTACCGTTATTGAAGGTCAGTTTCGGGTTTTTAAAAATAAAATAAACAAAAAGGGAAACCCTATTGGCTAACGGTCAACTAACGGAAGGCGTTATGATATAACGAGGATTGAAACTCAAACGGCACTTGAGATATTTCGAGCGTTAAAGGTCGACGAACATTTTTGGGGATCGGATTCGCGGGCAATTCTGTACCGTCCGATTACAAATAAATGACCACCATTTGAGCTGATTCGTGTGTGAAGAGATATCGTACGTTAAATTAATAAAAACGAAGGCACTCATTATAAAAAAATATTTTAAAAAAAAAATTAGTCCATTTTGTACCTCTAATAACTCGTTCCCAAACTTAATTTATTTTGTTGAAGACCCTAAATGTTATATTAATAACTAAAATTTTATAAATTCAAAAATTCAACCGTGTTAACCATATGATCCATATCAAAATTGGTTTGGTTACTCAAATGAGTTACCTATTAAAAATATTAATTATTATAAAATAAAATGATTATATATTTTAAATTTTTTTTTTTATCTTTACTTATAAACTCATGATCAACCTCTTAATTAACCATTTTTTCTATTTTACTAATACTTGTACTTGTTCTACTATTCTGATTCGGGTGTAAAACAAAAAAAATATGTTGATTGGGTATACTATATTTAATTTATAACGGAACTCCCGTCCTTAACCCATTAAGAAAAAAATAAAAAATAAAAAGATAAGTCATTCCATTTCGACAAAAGACCCACACGCAAGTTCCATAACTTTTGATCCGCTCAGACTGCTCTCTCAATAATTCTCTTTGAACAAGTCAAAGAGTCTACTTTATGGAGCCTTCTAACAAAGGTACATTCAAGTCACTTTTGACTAGCCTCAACTATGAAGCCCACTCCTCTCTCAACAATTTTTCTCTCAAACAAAGCATACAAAACGAATGACCAACGACGTCCTACACACGTACTTATCTGGTTTCATAAAATGTGAAGTATTAAAGCCTAAAGGTAGGAAGATAAAGATTGATGTAAGCAATACTAAAATAAAAGAAATACATGATCATGATAATATTATAATCACCTTTATCAAAATCGACTAAATCTAAGAAATTGAAATTCAAAAAATGAAATGCAAAATTTCTTTCACTACTACACGTTTGGGAAAGGGCATTTTTGTTGCTATTTTCTTACATAAAAAATAAAACCAATATTTTATTCACTTTCATATGTATTTTCTTTTTTTTCTAATCCCTTGAGTTCGTTTTCATGTCTACAACTCTATTCATCTAATTATTAGAGATAAAATATGAACCATAAAAGAAATAATTGAAAAATAACCAGTGTTTTTATTTTACAATTAAATATGGTAATATGGTAATAGTGGATACTCAAGGTATTTAAGGATTCTTGCAAACTATTTTATTTTACAATTAAATGATTATAATGGCACATTATAATCATTTAATGTGCCATTATTTCGAAAGTGTTTCAAACCAAAAGGATAAAGTGGGTTTTTTTTTCATTGAAAAAAAAAACTGATAGAGAGATCATTTGACTACTATTGAAAATATCTGTAATATAAACTCGGAACGAAATAATAAAATTTAAACTCGCCGACTTAGGGATGAAAGGATAAGGATTTCCAGAAAAGATGCAAAAAGAAAAAACAACTTACCATCCTTTTAAGCAAAGAGAACAAAACAAATAAATTAAAGGACGGAGAACGGGGATGTATTCAATTTCCAGAACTGTTCACCATGTAAATTCAGATTGTTCGGCTTATCAGTCGAGAAAGATAGCTGGCACGCGTAAGTATGCATTTAAGTTTGGACATCGATTGATAATGAAAGGCGTTAGCTATTCGACCGGCCACATCGAAAGTGTTGAATTTTACTTTTTATAGTCAGATTTCTTAGAGCATTCAATCTCGGTTCTGGATTTTCAACAATAGATATGGATAACAAGAACAAACTCTGTTACACATAAATTAGCACATATCGCTTCTTTACACAGAGAAGAGCAAACGTTAAACAGACATGGATAAACACAGACATCTTTGGATAACAAGATCCATGCGCCATAACAGCATACCAGTTTTCCCACAACTTAACGACTGCTATTATTTAAAAGGAACACTCCAATCGACTCTTAAAGACGCAACTACGGAAGGAAAACACTGGAAGATTTGATAATTGTTATTATGATCATACTATTAAGTACTCGAAGACATCTCAGGTCGCAAGGATTTGAGCTATTGCTCATTTACAGTTGCATGGATCGCAGGTGCAGTTGTCACCGCATTTGCAGCCGTTCTCGGCTCCCATCTCTGCAACCTCGAAGGACCTAATATGGAAAATAAGTACAATTAATTAAAATTATGATTCATGACTGAATTTCTCTTGAAAAATTAGGCTCATTCAAACAAACTTACATCTTCTGAGGAGCGAGGCCGACGACGAAGGTCTCGATGGTTGCGGTTGTCTCAGAGAAGCTCATGTCAGGGAACATCTTGCAACTGCATAACGAAATATCAAAATGAAACGTCAGAGTCATCGTAATTATCCTCCGAAAAACTATTATCGAAGTCCTTCTCAGATAATTCAGAATATTATAGGCAGTGATCGCGTGATGCTTTCTCATATTCAGAATTCAATAAACAGAATCAACACATGATCAGATCGCAGTCGATCGAGGAACTAAGGTACAGAGACGAAAAGGAAATCGAAAAAAAAAAACAATAAAACGGAAGGTCAAAATCTCTAGAAATCGTTCTCCATAGAAGGAAATTGAGAAATCAGTTCACACAATCAAAATCTAAAGGAGAAAATTAGCGATTACTCACCCTCCGCAGCCGTTTCCGCACTTACAGGCAGAGCCGCATCCACAGTTTCCACCACAGCACGACATTTTCGACGATGACGAACGAAGAACAAAGAGATATTGAAACTTGTTTTCGAAATCAAACTAAAACTTCTCGCTATTGAACGAGAATGGAGAGGTGCCTGATGAGTCATATATAGGGGCGGGGAAAGAAGAGCGTACCATAAACACCGTCCACGTGTCAAAATCGTAACGGATAAGAATTCTCGCGTATAGTCCCGAAGTTCAGCTGCTCTCTTCCACGTATCTGGCATGACGATCACTCGTATGGTTTTCTGGTTTTCCCTTGGATGGGTTCCCAACGTAACGATAACACAGGTAATCAACGGTCCACATTTGATCTTATCAAAGATAAATCAACGGTTGATATTGAAATGAAAGATTCTTTCGAGGTAGAAATCATTTGAGGCGCCACACAATGTACGCGTTTAGCTGAAAGAGTAACAATTTATTCCGGTAAAGAAACCTCATAATTTTTATTTTCTAATAATGTAATTCATAAGTTTTAGTATGTTTTAATTCAGTTTTTATACTTCAAAAATATCGATAATAAATTAAAAAATAAATATACCAAAATAAAATAAAAACAATAATAATTACTTGCCGTATTTTTTAACATTTATTTTTATGTCAAATATATTTAATTTTAAAGTGTATATAATCAAAATATTATTTAAATATGGTCTCCATTCATATAATCTTAAAAGTGCTCCAGGGGTCATTCGGGGCAGAGGGGACCACCATTTTTTTTTTTTTTGGTCAAGGATGGGCAGTTATCAAGTGAAGACTGAACCATAGTAATGGGCCAATGGGCCCACACTGTCAATCATAAACCTAATCAAGTGGGCCCACGTTGAATCCTGTCCATTAGCGGTAGATCGTCCAAAGTCGCACGGCCTGGCCCGAAAGTTGCTATGACAACAAACCAACAATTTTTTTCAGGAATCTACTTTTTTCTCCCGCTCCTCTATTATTGACCCGAAAGTATAAGTATTAAAAGGGATTAAAGGTATTATATTTTTTCTGAAATTTAATTCCATTTTAGTTTATATAGTTCAAAATTTTAGTGTTAGTATATGTATTTAATCTTAAAACTAATATTTTCACTTTTTTTAAAAAAAATAAAAAAAAATAAAAAAAAAGAAGAAAAAGAAGGTACTAGTTTTTACTATATAAAAATTAAATAACTTCCCTGTTCTGGATCAGATTTGTTGAGCACTGTAATAATAGCCCATTTAACTGGGCTCATAGGAAACAGAGCCCAAAATCTTATAGGCCCACCACAGCCCAATGAACTGGGCTCATGGGAAGCAGTTAGCCCAATAGTCTTAATAGGCAAATTTTAATTTAATAATAATAGTAACAATAATAGAACAGAAGGTATATTTTTAATTCAAAAGATAAAGTTATTTTTTTTTATATAAAAAAAATGTTAGAATTGAAATCTCAATGCCTTGTTTTTTAAGTAAGAGGTATTTTGAATGTTGATGAACTGAAATTACCATACTGAACCGTTGGCTAGTAGCTGAAGAACAAAACAAGGGAGGGCATAATAGTCATTAGATCACCTTTAAATTGGATGGCAGTACGAAATTATTCTCCCACGTCCTTTCCCTCCACCAGCTCCCGTCTGTTTCATTGAAAGTAGCTTCATTCCTTCACAGTTCAAATGAGCGTGATCTTGCAAGGCCAATGCCAATGGCGTCGTTTGAAAGCCATGTGATGCATATTGCAAGACCGATCGTACGTTTTTGTTCTCTATAATTTACGGTTTTCGCTCGTTTGTTCCTTCTCCATTCTGGTTCGTCGATTTCTTTCGTTTAATTATTGCTCTTCCTCCTCAATTTGATAATCGTATTGGCAGTTGGATTGAACTCTTCGTCGTATGTATGAGACTCTGAATTGATCCCCTCCGCTTTGCTCCTGGCACATTATTCCACTCGCTGCTTTCAGATTCAAGCATGGCTCAACAGGTACCTCTCTCTTCTCTCTGTGTAGAAATTTTGAGTGCTTAATTTTGCCCTAATTTTGCGGTTGATATTGTGAATGTAGGAAGATGGATGGCCGGGCTTACGGCTAATGAACGCCAGAGTTGGATTGGCGGGAAATCATCATGATCTCTCTGCTTTGTTTTCTTTCAATACTTTGCGAACTCATTCTCCTAGCTCCTTCACCGAGTCTTCCTCAGATCTTGATACAGAGGTCTGTTTACTTCGATGTCTTTTTCTGTTTTTCTTTCATCCGAGTGTATGTGTTTGCGTTAGAGAGGCTAGGAAATTATTCGTATGGAAGAACATTATGCTTGGTTTGTGCAGGTAAACACTGGAATAATGCTTGATTTTTGTAGAATTCATTCCGTTGGTACCTAACTTTCATGGAAACATTAACTACACTTTGGTAGAATTTGTATTACTTTGTATTCTAAAATTTATAACAATTTAGTTCTTTAAATTTTGTGACAATTTAATCACAGCCATTAAAAATATCGTCAAATTTTTACCAGGTACATTTTATTCATAGCTAAACACATTTTGTTCTTAATCAATTTATCGATCTACTACATAAGAAATTTCATTGAATCTTATCAATGTACGGAAATTAAATCGTTACAAATTAAAGTTTAAAAACTAAATTACTACTTTTATGAAAGTTTAGTTGTAGTTCAATGATTTGCATTGGATCGCCTCGCTGTTAAGACTATATTTCTTTGTCTTACTTCTCTGAAGGGATTGAACTGAAGTTACAGGGTAGCCTTTTCAATATGTGTATTTATTTTATTTGGAGCTCAATTATGGCCATCTTATATAGTGGAAATTACAAAGTTTCAACTCTAGATCCCCCCCCCCCCCCCCCCCCCCCCCCCCCCCCCCCCCCCCCCCCCCCCCCCCCCCCCCCCCCCCCCCCCCCCCCCCCCCCCCCCCCCCCCCCCCCCCCCCCCCCCCCCCCCCCCCCCCCCCCCCCCCCCCCCCCCCCCCCCCCCCCNCCCCCCCCCCCCCCAAATCCTCTGGTATTGTCTTTTCTGGCTATGGTTTTTGCAAAATTGCATCAGGTAATTGGTTTTTAGTCAACTAGATTATTCTACCACGACAAGAGCATCACGCTTGGGAGTCTCATTGGTATCTCTAGCATTCTGGAGGTAACACGAAGATCAACAAAAGGAAACAAGGTGGAAACATTTGAAGACAAAAAGGAGTACAAATCCAAGCCGTGATTGTTCTCTTTATTTTTATGCATTAAACTTCGCCATGATGCTGTGAGCTTGAGCAGCTCTCCTTCACTTGAGCAATCTCTTGAAACAGAAAGGAGAGCGACAAGAAATCAAAGAATTCACAACCCGAGAATGAACGGACCCAACAACTACTCGCGCTATTCGTCCTGCTTCTCAAACAAACTCTTTGTTTTCCAATGATCAAGTAGCTCCAGTGTTGTTTGAACCGGTTGCCGAAGAGAACCAGAAGATCAGATGGAGAACATGTTCAGGATGGTAACACTCAAGCGATTCCTCTACTATTCATGTTTATATTGCCAACTGTTTAAATGATTCTTTCTTTGATTCATACAGTAACGTTTGAATGCAACTTTTTCTTCATGAAAAAGTGATGCAAGTCAAAAGTTAAATTCTCATTTGTATCATTCTACCATTTGATTTGTAGGAGATTTACTTATCATTATCATCATTCAGCGATCGTGTTTGGGGCAGACAAATCGAGGCATTCGTCGTTGCTGCAACATTCAGTCTGTTTACTGCCAAGTTAGTGAACTACATTTGATTGAATCCATAAAATCTTAACTATTAACCATGGCTAATCGTTTCGTATCTGTTAGTATATGATAGAAGAAAAAACTTCAAATGACCGTATAGATTTGCTATCTTTGCTAGTTTAGCGGCTTGAGAAACTGTTGTAAATAACTGACAATGATAGAGAAAAAAAAATGATAATTATACTCCGGGCAAACGAACCTTCTCATATGTTTGCCCACATCGCACAGCACGGCCTTTGCATACTTTAGATTTGTGGCCAGCCTCAGTACATCCAAATATAGATGCTCTATAGGTGAAGTAAAAATTATATACCCAGATGGAAAAACATCTGAGGTTGCCATATCAGCTGGATTATCCATCTGGTAAGGCCTTTTTTAAGACTTAACACATGTCCCTGAATTTTGTTCACTCAACTTCCCAAATAGGATAGATAAGCTCTTCAAGCTGCTGTTTTCTTCATTGAAATTTGACGTTGTCAACCCCTTCAGCTTCAAGGGGGAAATCTCTTGGTCTACCTTGTCATGACTCTTCACCTCAGCAACGAGAAGCTGGGTGATGCTGCCTCTGCAAAAGGGGCAAACAGGGGCTGTTGGACAAGCTGTAGTTGGATTAGGCTTCTTATGGCAGCATAAAGATAATGTGCAATGGGCGCACATTCTATGGCCACATGGTTGAGCCTCAATATTGCATATCTGTTCAAAGCATATGCTGCACAACTCTGTATCGCTAGCCTGTTCGTATGATAGAATCAACGAGTGATGTAAGAATGTTGCGGACACAGTTATGAGCTATAGTCTCGACCAAATTAATTACAGAAATGGAAATATAAGCAACAGAGCAGTATCCCAAGAAGTAAAACTAGAACATTGAGAGGGAATATGTAAGATCCCACCTCGGTTGTTGAGGGGAACGGAGCATTTCTTATAAATGGTGGAAACCTCTCCCTAACGGATGAGTTTTAAGACCTTGAGGGGAAGCCCAGAAGGAAAAGTTGAAAGAGGACAATATCTCCTATAGGTGGGTTTAGGCTATTACAAATAGTATAAGAGCCAAGCATAGAGCGGTGTGCAAGCGGGGACGCTCGTCTCCGAAGGGATGGATTGTGAGATTCCACATCGGTTCGAGAGGAAAATAAAGCACTCCTTATAAGGGTGTGGAAACTTATCCCTAACGGATGCTTACAACCTTAAGAGGAAGCACGGAAGGGAAAGTCCAAAGAGGACAATATCTATTCGCAGTGAACTGTTACAAAATCTTTTTCAGATTCATTGCATTCATGTATTGACACCGACTTGAAATTATTCAACAAAAAACCCAAAATGAAGTGTGTTTGAATTACCTCAGATGCTAAATCATTGTCTAAATCAGAATCAATGTCCAAATCAGATTGGAAAGGACAAGGAGGTGTGACGAATGTTTCCTTAAATATGGCCTTCTCTCTCTCCATGTTTGCATCCATCAAGGCCTTTTCTAGCAAAACTTTTGCATCTGGATGTAGCTCAATGATTAACTTCAAAGGTGAAGGCCAGACGAGAGGTTCTGGTGATGAAGGGTTCAACAAAGCTGCACAAGCTTGATGCTTATGCTTTAAAGCAACCGTAAATGGTATCCTCCTGCAAATGGTCAAGCAGATACCTTGAGAAAACTTCATTAGGAGTTCCATTGTTTACTTCTAAATTGTGCCTGTTTTAAGCAAAGCATGAGATAACTCTAGTTTTTTTTTTTTTTCAGCTTACCCATACGAGTCGAACTGAAATCTGTCAGCTCCCCAAGCCAGCAATTCTCGAACACATTCCAAGGAACCACCACGAGCAGCTAAATGGAGTGGCGAACTACCTGGACAACTGCATAACATATTCACAATAAACCATCATTCTCTGGATATACTCAGAATGAAAGAATGAAAGATCATTCCTCATACCTGCAAGTGGAGACACAGACAAGAGCACCATTGCTAAGAAGGATACGGACACACTCAGGTTGGCTCTGCCTGGCGGATAAATGCAATGGAGTTGAGCCATCCCCATCCCTAATGTTCACAAATCTTGCAAACCCCCTACCCATTTCCATCCAATTCAAATTCAAAACTCATCATATTAAGCCAATACTCGAAAGTAAATGTGCTTGAAGTAGAAGAAGAAGAGTAAATTGACTAACCAAGAGTCGGATACAGGGGTGGTATGCGCAGCAGAGAGAATCGCTTGCAGGCAATCAGAATGTCCATAGTAAGCTGCATAATGCAAGCAGGTTCTTCGATGTGTAGAATCAAACATCAATATCTATGGATGTCAAACAAACACCGGTAAGCAGAATTGCATCAAAATTAGAAACAAACTTCTGAAGAAACGCACATTAGCTCCTGCTTCGATCAGCCTCTGAACACAAGCTATCTTCCCGCTCATCGCAGCCAGCATCAGAGGAGTCTAAATCAACCAAAACAAGGATCAGTTCAATCGAAAGATGAATCGAACTGCCAAAAGAGCTGAACACACACATTCGATCAAACGAAACAAAAACCTGATTATGCCGATTCAGAACGTCCGGATTCACATTCCAGTCCAAGAGCATCGAAAGAATCTACATCAACAAATACTCAATGAATAAAAACGAAGGAAAGTCTCTTGAACTTCAACTCAAACTCACATCGGTCTGTCCATTGGCAGCCGCTACATGTAGAGCAGATAGTCCTTGATGTTTGGTTGTTTGGTGTAAGATGGAGGAATCAATCTCCATCAAGGCTCGAACAACTTCCACATCCCCGTTCTGCAGAGCTCTGAAGAAGACTCCAGTTCCATGCCGGTCCGCGCAGCTCAGTCCCTGGCCCATTCCCCCCCTCACTCTGCAACCTCCAGTTAAATAACTGGCCTCCTAGAACATGGAGAGGAGCTCGAGACGAAGCTCACTCACCAGGCTTCAATGGCGGACGTACAAGGAGATGGAGATGAGTGGGGGAATTGCAGGCGTGGATGAGAAGGAAGAGAGCATGTGATAGTGAATGAATGAATTGAATTGAATTGAAATGGCCTCGTAATTTGAACCTGCCCGCCATAGAAACGGGCAACTTCGTCGTGTGGGCTTTAAGAAGATACTTTTTCTTTTTCTTTTTTCTGGATTTTGGCGTCATTGTCGGATATTTTGGGCATTTCCTATTATTTTATATTATCTCCTCATCCCCATGCACCATATTATTTTTATGCTGTCACTGTCAGAATTTCAATCAACTATTATTATTGTTTTTAACCAATCAACTTTTGCACTCGGGGTTTTTTTCTTTATAAATTTGAGATATTTTTTAAAATCAGCCATTAAATTAATTAATTTTTAATTTATATAATTTAATAAACCTCCTTCGCGTCCTATAATTAATTCAAACATTTAAAACTTTGAAAACCCCATATAAACAAAATTTACAATGAAATCCTTTTTTTTTTTTCACTAAAAAAATGAAAATTCATTTATTTATAGTCCAAATAAATAGTTACGTCTGCAGCTGTACAAAATATAAATGAGTACAACCATCAATTTAAAATAATACAAAGGGTGTCAGAAAATATTGTATGTGCAGAGAATTATTCTGTGTCACTCATACATGAATAATAATAGTATCCAAGGATCTTAAAGTAAAATACTCGATTTTACTTTAGTGAAGTGTGCAATAACTTTGAGTTTTTAAACTTTCAACCAATAGAATCCTGAAGTTAAATGTTTCTGCGAAATTAATGTACTTAAATTAGGAAATAAAGTTTCAATAAAATGAAAATTAAGTCACATAAATGCTAACCATTACTCTAAAATAAATTGGTAGTGAAGAGAAATATTCATGTTATGTGTAACTATATTGTTTTTTTTTTTTGAGTTTTTCCGTCCCACAAGGCTTTAAAACGTGTCTGATAGGAGAAGGTTTTCACACTCTTATAAAGGGTGGTTTGTTCTCCTCCCCAACCAATGTGGGACATCACAATCTATGCCCCTTTGGGGCCCACCGTCCTCGCTGACACTCTTTTCTTCTTCCAATCAATGTGAGACTGCCCCCAAATCCACCCCCTTTGGGCCCCAGCGTCCTTATTAGCACACCGTATCATGTCTACCCCTCTTCGGAGAACAGCGAAAAGGCTGACACATCGTCCGGTGTCTGGCTCTGATACTATTTGTAACGCCCAAGATCCACTGCTAGCAGATATTGTCATTTTTATGATTTCTCTTTTGAGCTTCCCTCAAGGTTTTAAAATGTGTCTGCTACGGGAAGGTTTCCACCCCTTATAATTTGTGGTTTGTTCTCCTCCTCAATCAATAAAACATCACAATATGAGACATTTTTAATGAATTTAAAAAATAATATTATGCATAACCATAGATTTTCATCGTTCCTATAAGTTGTCTTAGAGTCATGTCGTTCTTATCTCAATTTAGCTATGTCAAAAGATTTGTCAAAGGTGTAGCCACAGCGGCTTCAGTGTCTAGCAAATAAGTTATAAATCTCGAAGGTATAATCATGATAAAGATCCAAGAAATTGTAACCTTAAAGGTGTAGGGTCATCGTAAAGATCCGTGGTAAAGCTAGCTACTTGATTAAATTTAATCGTCACGATTATAAATTATAATAAATAAAACTCTTAATTAATTAATTTCGGTAAAAATTCATTTTCCACCGATTTTTCTTTTCAAAAAGGAAATATAAAACGTGCTTTTAATTATAATGATGCCTTTGTTTTATTGGACAGAAAACTGTTGTACGTAAGACCAATTTCCCCCATTTTAGGCATCAACCTCGTTCACATCTTTCCCTTTTCAGAAGCTATTTCATTCATTGGTCAATTTCTTACGGCTGTACAGTAAAAAGTAACGCACGGCCGCACCGTATATATTCCCCAAGTATTAGCCGGCTTTTCCCATGGGCCCAGGCCCATGTGAGCCCAACGAGCCTCAGCCCATATATCAACTGCATAAGTAGGCCTCATTGTTTGTTATTCGAGCCCAATAAAACTAAACTGCAGGCCCAATACGGAGTAGAGGCCCAATAAGCCCATACAGATCACCATCAGCGTCTAAAATCATTGGCTGTCTTATATGTTCGTGTCCTCTAAAACCCTAGAAAAACCATTTCGTCACTTCGTTGGAGTCTGCAGTCTCGCAGCTTACTGTTAAGGTTTCTGAAGTTCAGCCATGTCGGATGTTGAGATTTCTCGTTCGGAGAAGAAGAAGAAGAAGCATCGGAGCAAGGATGAAGAAGTTTCACCAGTGGTAGCTTCCGACGAGCAGCCGCTCAAGGACGTTGCCGACTTTTTGATCAAGCCGCAAAGTTTTACTCCTCCGGTGGATACATCTCAATGGCCTATTCTTCTGAAGAACTACGACCGTCTCAATGTACGTACTGGACACTACACTCCTTTACCGTCTGGTTTCTCTCCTCTGAAGCGGCCTCTGATTGACTACATCAGGTATGGTATTCTCAACCTTGATAAACCGGCGAATCCTTCGTCGCACGAGGTTGTGGCTTGGATTAAACGGATTCTTCGGGTTGATAAAACGGGTCATAGTGGTACACTGGATCCGAAGGTTACTGGTAATTTGATTGTGTGCATTGATCGAGCCACGCGGCTCGTGAAGTCGCAACAGGGTGCTGGTAAGGAGTATGTGTGTGTTGCTCGTTTGCATTCTGCTGTGCCCGATGTTGCTAAGGTGGCTCGGGCTCTGGAGACGCTCACTGGAGCTGTGTTTCAGAGGCCGCCTTTGATATCGGCTGTGAAAAGACAGCTTAGGATTAGGACTATATATGAGAGTAAGCTTCTTGAATATGATGCTGATAAACATTTGGTTGTGTTTTGGATTTCTTGTGAGGCTGGAACTTACGTTAGAACGTTGTGTGTGCACTTGGGTCTCATTCTTGGTGTTGGAGGGCATATGCAAGAACTTAGGAGGGTGAGGTCTGGGATTTTGGGTGAGAAGGATAACATGGTTACAATGCATGATGTTATGGATGCTCAATGGGTTTATGATAATTTCAAGGATGAGAGTTACCTGAGGAGGGTAATTATGCCTCTTGAGGTGGTTTTGACAAGCTATAAAAGATTGGTTGTCAAGGATTCTGCTGTTAATGCTATTTGTTATGGTGCTAAGTTAATGATTCCAGGGCTGTTGAGATTTGAGAATGATATTGAAGTTGGGGAAGAAGTTGTACTTATGACCACCAAGGGTGAAGCCATTGCTCTTGGTATTGCTGAGATGACCACTTCTGTGATGGCAACTTGTGATCATGGCATTGTTGCAAAGATCAAAAGGGTTGTGATGGATCGTGATACTTACCCAAGGAAATGGGGACTAGGTCCAAGGGCATCAATGAAGAAGAAGCTTATTGGAGAAGGGAAGTTGGATAAGCATGGAAAACCAAATGAGAACACTCCTCAAGAGTGGCTGAGGAATTTGGTTTTGCCTACTGGTGGGGATTCATTGGTTGCAAGCGTGTTCGCTTCCGATACTGCCACTCCAAAGCAGAACGTTGCAGCTGATGAGGAAAAAGATGGTGTAGGGCAGAAGCGGAAACACGACGAGGAAACAGAAGCTGCAGCTCCTGCTAAGAAACTGAAAGGTGAAAAGGCCGAGGAAGCTGAAGAAGTTGAAGAATCCGGGAAGAAAGAGAAGAAAAAGAAGAAGAAAGATAAAGAGAAGGGAGGCATAGAAGCTTCAGATGATGAAAAAGCTGAGAAACCAGAGAAGAAAAAGAAGAAGAAAGACAAGGATGCAAAAGAAGCGGGTACACCGGAGACAGAGAAGTCGGAGAAGAAGAAGAAGAAGAAGAAAGACAAGGAGTCCGGAAATGATACTCAAAATGGCGAAGCAGATGGGCATGTTGATGGGGGGAGTGAGAAGAAAAAGAAGAACAAAGAAGAAGCCAGACGAATAAGAAAGATGTAGTTTTAGTTTCTAGATTGTAAGGCCATCATCTATTTCAGTTTCTAGATTTTGCAACATCTTTTCTATGCATTTTCTGTAGAATTTTTGCTTAAACACAAAATGGTATGGTAGGCTGTTCGATTGTTCTTACCAAAACTTCCTTGCTGCTGCTGCTGCTATTCCCTTCTGGATTTCATGTCGATCTTTCCATCTTTTGCAAGCCCCTAATGATGCTCGATTATCAAGAACCCCTCAAGGCTGGAAGCAGGAAATTGGCTAACATCTATGAACATATTGGGCCTGAGAGGGATCCATTGGGCTTTTGTTTTGGGCCTAAGAGTGATCCCATTTGCTTTTAAACGCTATTGCATTCTCATAAATTAATGTACGTGTATCATGAATGTAGCTTAGCTTCCAACAAATATTAGTCTAAATTGACTTGGGTCATTTTCTTTTTAAAGTCAACTCAACCATCGAGCTTAAATGTATGGAAGTCGAACATTTGTCAGCACTTATATACTCCATGTACGTGCTTTCATTAGTCTCGTTTCTTTTATTTTTTAAATCGGTAAAATTTGAAAATTTTCGCTACTAAATTTTTTAAAAGGTAACATTGAATTGGCACATCGAAGTCCAAACTCCTTTTCATGGCCTTCAACAAGCAAGCAAACAATTTTTCTTTCTTACAAAAATTTGCTTCAATTTTTACCCTCTTTTGTTCATTAAACTTTTGCCTTTTCATAAATACGGCGTCGTTTCTTAGATACCAACCCCATTTCCCCCAACCATCACAGTCTTGAAGGACCCCACTTATATTCCAATGCAAAAAAATACATAAAAGAAGACTGTCCTTCACCACAAAAGCCCCAATCCAACCTCTTATAATTATGATCTTAAAAAAAAAAAAACAAAAATTCAAAGTTCGTAAACAACAACCCTTCACTACACACTACCATTAAATGTACACGACGGTATATAGCCCTGAATCGTCTCTAAAATAACATTAAGTTGGTCAATACCGACACCAATTTCTTAAATAAATTTTCCCCAAAATTAAAAGAAAAAAATAATATGTAATTTGGTGTTTCTTAAGCAAATAGTGATGAGAGAGAAAAAGAAAAGGATCAAAAGAAGCTTATGGACTAAGAAACATCATCCCTAATGCCCTAAAAAGCAATAGAAAACAAGAGAAAAGTGTATATATATATATATATATATATATATATATATATATATTAAAAAAAAAAAGTTAATTCCTTTATTTGATGTGATTCTCCACTATTTATCTCTCCCAAACAAAACCCCATCAACCTTTACAAAAGAGAAAGAAAACCCAGAAAAACGCCATGAATTTTTCATCCATTCCTGCTTATCTTCATCCTTCTAATTGGCAACAGGTAACCCTTTTCTTTTCTTTTTCAATTAATAAAATTAAATCAAATAAAACATTAATATTCCTCCATTTTGTTCTTCAATATTCTTCACATATTTGATTTCATTCCCTTACTGTTTTCTTTGCTCAGCAAGTTTCCCATCAACTGGGAACTACTACTACTACTACTACTACCTCTGCACCCACTTCTCAGCTTCCTCCGCCTCCTCCTCCTCCACCGCCACCACCACCTCATGGCGGTTCCATCCGGCCCGGTTCCATGGCGGAGCGAGCTCGATTGGCTAATATTCCCATGCCTTATGCTACATTGAAGTGCCCAAGATGTGAATCAACCAACACAAAGTTTTGTTACTTCAACAATTATAGCCTAACTCAACCTCGCCACTTTTGCAAGACTTGCCGACGGTACTGGACGAGAGGTGGCGCTCTGAGGAACGTCCCGGTCGGGGGCGGTTGTCGGAGGAACAAAAGAAGTAAAGGGAGAAATTCTAAATCGCCCCCGGTTAGTTCAGACCGGCAACAACAAACTAGCGGTTCAGCTAATTCCTCATCAAGTGCAATAGCTTCCAATAATAGTGGACTTTCCCCACAGATCCCACCACACCGCTTCGCTCCTCTCCTCCACCACCACCACCAACAACTCACTGACTTCGACATCGGAGGCTTCAACTACGGCGGCGGCGGCGTACTCTCAGCTCCTGCCACCGCCGCCGCAGCCGGCGACGACCTGAGTTTCCAATTGGGTAACACTAATTTAGCTGGAGGAACAAGTATAGGATCTCTCTTGGGATTTGACCAACAATGGCGGCTCCAGCAACAAGCTCCCCAATTTCCCTTCTTGTCGAGCCTCGACCCTTTCGACGGCGGTAGTAGCGGCGGCGGCGATGGGTCGGGGTGGCAAATGAGACCAAAATTACCATCAGTATCAAGGAATTTAACCCAAATGGGAAATTCAGTGAAAATGGAAGGAACCCCAAATCATGAAGCTAACATTGGAAGGCAATTTGTTGGGAATGAACAATATTGGAGCGGTGGATCAATGGCATGGTCGGATCTTTCTGGCTTCAGTTCTTCATCTTCAACAAGAAACCCATTATAGAAATGTTATTTAGTTCTTCATGTGTGCCATCATCATCAGCCAAAACCCTAAAACAATATGGTGCTTCTTTTTTTTCTTTTAAAAATCATATATTTTTTGGGTTTTTTTTTCCTATTTTGTTTAGTTTTAGTAGTTAGGATTGAAGTTGTGGATGAGAAATGAGACCATTTTATGACCATATGGATAGATTATGTTTGTTTGTTCCTTAATCTTTGATATCAATTTCTCAAAATGCATGCTTTCAATATTCACACAATGATCGTTTAAACATAATAGTCTTATAATCATTAGATTTAAGGATACTGTGATATCCTGCATTAGTTGGAGAGGAGACCGAAACACCCTTTGTAAGAGGACAATATCTTACCGTCTTTAGAGAAAGCATGAAAGGAAAAACCCAAAGAGGACAATATCTGCTAACGGTGGACTTAAGCTTACAGATACCTACATAAATATTTTATAAAACGACAACATCAACACCGAAACATGTTCTTCATTCTATTTTATATGTGGGATTATGTGAGGTCTCACATTGGCTGGAGAGGGGAACGAAATATTGTTTATAAAGGTGTAAAAACCTTTTCTTAGTAGACGCGTTTTAAAATCGTAAGATTGACCGTGATTGAAGTAAAAGCCCTTTTTAAAGCTTTTATTTGTTTAAAACGTTCCCATAAAAGTCTATATGGTTTATCTTCATTCTAGACAAAGGGTTCGTAGTAAAACAAAGGCAAGTCTTTTTTATTTTTTGGGGCACTTTTCATTTCTCTTGCCATTTTTCAACCTATTTCCGAACTTATTATCTTAATCTTTTTCGTACATATAAGAAACTCGTTATGTGAATCAGAACGACGTTTTTCAATTAGGGTATCGACCTAAACGACGAACAAACACTCGAACATGAGAACAAGAGATCATCCAAAGAATGGACGAGCTCCGAGGAGAGAGACAAGAACCATGGTTTTAGAGACCTACCTTAACTGCCGAGCCGAACTTTATCAAGAGAGATGAACATTAGTTATCCCTAAGAGGGAAAGCATTTAGTTAAAGCAATCTCCAAACTTCACTTAGAGTTGAGTGAACACAAAGGTAAAAAGTACAAAAAACGGTGCGTTTTAGTCATGGGTTAGTACTTGCTATTACAACAACCAAAATTAGAGAGCATGACTTAGAGCTCCATACCTATGTTGCTTGTTTTGGCGATTACTTCGAACTCAGCAAATTTTAATTCTCGAAAGAGTTGGTGAACGTAATCTTAGATTTGACAAACTTCGTTCGAGTTTATTGATTATTATCTGGATTATGATCGATTAAAGAGATCTCGAACCATCCTAGTATCAAATTTACGGGTTCAAATTGAGGCTTAGACTTAGCATGATTCATGTGTTCGTTCATTAGGGTTTGATCCATTCATATATATAGATGTTATTAGTTTAGTTCTCGAGATTGTCGATATTGACCAAAACGTCGACCCCGCTTATACTTGCCATCATTATGACATAAGATTTTGGAATTAAAAATAAATAAGAATTTATAAATATAATTCTCAAATTTGGTAGTCATTGTCCCAATAATTTGGCCTGCATCAATGCCAATGAAACGGTGTGTATTAATTGGCTTAGTGCAACCCAAATGATTAGCACTCTAACTAAAGTACATTTTCTTATTAGAAATTAAAATTTTTAATTTTTTAAAATTCAATTTATCAATATTTTTTTATTTTATACAAAATAATTATCAATTATACACATAGAAAATAGGAATAAAGGAGAAATAAATAAGAAGATGAATTTTTTATTCTAAAAAAAAAAAAAAGATTGGGAATTTAGTCATCAAAATGAAACCCCACGCGCTCTCCGCTAAAGTGTGAGTGAGAAAAGAGAATTACACGCGCTTGAGAGGTGTAGTTAGATCACGCATCACAAGGCGACAAATCTCTGTTTTGTCAGTATTACAGCGGGCCCAGTTTTAGCTCCCATGTTTGAATTGCACGCACTTTTCGACTGCGTAAAATTACACATTTTTACAGAAACTTACAAAAATGGCCCCCCGTATTTTTCTCCACGTCCTAATTTCCTCAATTATTACATAAAATTCCCTAAACTCACTCAAATTACACAAAGTACACAGTACCACTCCCCTGCACGGACCCCGTCTCAACATTCCATCTTTTCATTTCCATTTCCATTTTTATTCTTAATTCTTTTTTTTTTTTTTTTTTTTATAAAATTTTTTAAAAATAATAATAAATAGTACAATTTTTATTAATTTTTGTGAGATTAAATAGTACTATTTTTTTTATTTTTATTTTTATTTTTGTGCATTACTTAAAAAAGGTAGTAGTCAAAAGCCAGCATTGAGTTTAAAGCTGAATCTAAGTTGCTTTCTTTTTTAGTTTTTACTGTTCTTTCTTTTATTATTATTTTTATATTAATTTTTCAAAAAAATTATATTGTTTATTTTCACAAGAGATATTAATTAAATTAATTTATTTTTCACATGCATGCAAATTAAATCTTGAACTCATCCATTAACACTATTTTTATTTTTTATTTTAGCTAAATTAATTTTTAATTGAAAATAAATTTTTTGAATATTTAACTTTTTAGCCTATAATTTATAGGAAATTTTCGATGTGGCCATGCAAAAACTGAAAATATCTTTTATTTTTAGATATCATATTATAAATACAATAAAACTATATTTATTTATTTATTTAATAAT